AAGCAATGCATTAAAAGGAAAAATGCAATTGAGTAGGGTTTATCCCCAGAATACAAGGATGATTTATCTTTAAGAAATCTTTTATTGCACTGTGTTGTTTAAACCCATTATAAAGGGGGAAAAAAGCATAATCATCTTGACAGATTTCAAAAAATATATTTGATAAGATTCAACACCCATGAATGATTAGAAAATGAAATAGTAAACTAAAACTAAAAGGTGTTTCAGTCAATGCTTGATCAGAAAAACTGAAACTATGTTAAATATGGAGAACCCTTTTGAATATAAGAAATTGAATACAAAAGTGATGGAAGGATTTGAGAAGTAAAACAGAGAAGATGAGGTTACTAAGCAATTAGTAATTTCAGGACGTTGTTACCACATCTAGGGGAATTTGCCTTGGGAACCAGTACTACTACCACATTGCAGGATGCCAGGAATCCATATTTTCACCAAAACTACAAGTGCCTGGCAGCCTAAGGTCACTCACCACTGCAGCTGCCACCACTGGAACCAGAGCCCATAAATACCACACTGCTAAGACTTCTGGAATGACTTCTAGAACTTCATTACTTTGGAGTTGCACTCATTTTCCACTATGGCTGCCACTGCTGGAGACATTATGAGAAACCAAGATGGAAAAAAAAAACATTATTTCTTCCTTCTTTCAACTTCCAGTCTTTCACCAGTAGTACCCACTGATAAAACTATTGAACAATATTCCTTATGTGTATTGATGCAAAAATCCTCAACAAAATACTAGCAAATCAAATTCAGCAGCATATATATATAATGGTTTTCCATCATGACCAAGTTGGATTTACTCCTAGAATGCCAGGATGGTTCAACATACAAAAATTAATCAATATAATAGAACACAGCCCCCAAAGTCTTAACCCATCCAACATCAACTAGAAGTCCAAAATCTTATATAAATAGTATCTAAATCAGGTATAAGGAAACTCAAGGTATGATTCATCTTATGGGAAGATTTCTTTCCAGTTTTGAAACCAGTCAATTTACATACTCCAAAAACACAATGGTAGAACAAAGGATAGATATTCCCATTCCAAAAGGAAGAAATAGAAAAAAAGAAAGGGGTCAGAAGTTCCAAGTAAGTCTAAAATCTAACAGGGAAGAGTCTATTAGATTTTAAGACTTGAGAATAATCCTCTTTAGCTCCATGTTCTTGTATTCTGGGTCCTTCTAGGTGATTCTGCCTTCTAGGCCCACCAGGTCCATTCCCTCAGCCCTGGGCAGTGGCCACCACCCCTTTGGAACGGAGAAGAAAACAGCCCTGACACTTGAGCTTGTGCCTTAGGGCCTATAGTGGCAGTATCAGTCTTACCAACCTCTGAACCACCTTTGGAATCATTTTTCCCTTTTCTTGAAGAATAACACATTTGCAGCTGGATAGCTCTATCAGCCTGTCCTCTAGAATCCCAGGGATTGATGGCCTTCCTTCATCTAGTCCTGTCTCTGTCCCCTTCAATTCAAGCTGAGAGCCTTTCTGCTGGTACAAAATTCTCAAAAACCTTGGCCTCCCATGCAATTCATGAGGGTCCAAGCCATCAGACAAGAGGGTCCTCCACAGATCTTTCCTGGATAACCCCATCTCTATTTCTGGATTCTTCTGAAATGACTGATTGGATCTATAAATCACATACCTGTAATTCAGCCTATACATGGAAAACCCAATGTAGCATCATACTTAATGATAAAGGGCAAAAAGCTTTTCCTCTAGGATCAGGATCAAGACAGGATGCTCACTTTCACAATTTATATTCAACATAGTATTGGAAGTCCTAGCCAGAACAATTAGGCAAGAAAAATAAGTGAAAGGTATCTAGATTGGAAAGGTAGAAGTAAAATTATCTCTGTTTGAAGATGACATGGTCTTATATATAGAAAACCCTAAATATTCCACACACACACACACACACAATTATTATAGCAAATAAACAAATTAAGCAAAGTTGCAGGAAACAAAATTAACACACAAAACACAGTTATTTCTATACACTAACAATGAACAATACAAACAGGAAATTACAAAAATAATTCCTTTTACAATAGCATTAAAAAGAATAAAATACTTGGGAATAAATCTAAGCAAGGAGGCAAAACACTTAAACACTAAAAATTACAAAACATTACTGAAATAAATTAAAGACAAAAATAAATGAAAAACATCCCATGTCCATGAATTGAAAGATTTAATATTGTAAGGACAGCAGTACTACCCAAAGTGATCTACAGATTCAGTGTAATCCCTATCAAAGTCCCAACAGTCTTCTGCCAAAATAAAAAAACTCATCCTAAAATTCATAGGAATCTCAAGGGACGCTGAATGGCCAAAACAATCTTGAAAAAGAACAAAGTTGGAGAATCCACACTTCCTGATTTCAAAACTTACTACAAAATTACAGTAATCAAAACAGTGTGGCATGGACATAAGATAGACATAGAGACTGGTGGAATGAAACAGAGAACTCAGATATAAACCCTCAAATATATGGTCAAATGATTTTTGACAAAGATGCCAAGGATATTCAATAGAGAAAGGACACTCTTCAACAAATGGAAAACTAGACATCCGCATGCAAAAGAATGAAGTTGGACTCTTACCTTAAATGACACAAAAATTAACTCAGATGAATCAAAGACCTGTATATAAAAGCTAAGACTATAAAACTCTTAGAAAACAACACAAGGGAAAATCTGTATAATCCTGGATTTGGTAGTGGTTTCTTGGGTATGACACCAAAAGCATAGGCAACAAAAGAAAAAGATAGATAAATTGGCCTTCATCAAAACTAAAAATTTTGTGCATCAAAAGACACTATCAAGTAACACAACCCCAAAATGAGAGAAAAAAAAATTGCAAATCATATATCTGATAAGTGATTAACGTCCAGAATCTACTAACAGCTCCTACAACTCAATAACGACAAAAACAGCAAACCCAAACAAACAAAATTTTTTTAAAGGGGCAGAGGACTTGAATGGACATTTCTCCAAAGAAGAATTACAAATGGCCAATATGCACATGAAAAGATGATCAACATCACTAATCATTAAAGAAATGTAAATCAGAGCCACAATGTGATACTACTTAACATCCATTTAATGGCTATTACCCACAAAAAAAAAAAAAAAAAGCAAGGTAGTAGGATACAGGATTAACACAGAGAAATCCATTGCATTTCTTTACACTAACAATGAAATGTCAGAAAGGGAAAGCAATAAAAATTCCCTTTTAAAATTGCACCAAAAAAATAAAATACTTAGAAATATACCTGATCAAGGAGCTGGAAGACTTATATGCTGAAAATTATAAAACATTGGTAAAGGAAATTAAAGATGATTTTTTTAAATGGAAAGGTATTCCATACTCCTGGACTGGAAGAATTAATATTGTTAAAATGCCCAAAGCAATCTACAGATTTAATGTGTTCTTAGGTCAGTCTCCCAAGACAATAGAAAAAAAGCAAAAATAAACAAAAGGGACCTGACCAAACTTATAAGCTTTTGCATAGCAAAGGAAATTACAAACAAAGTGAAAAGACAACCTACAGATTGGGAGAAAATATTTGCAAATGATGCAACTGACAAGGGCTTAATTTCTAGAATATATAAACAGTTCATACAATTCAATAACAAAAAAATTTTTTTCAGAAAATGGGCAGAAGATGTAAACAGACATTTCTCTGAAGAAGACATACAGATGGACAATTGGCATATGAAAAGAGGCTCAAAATCATTAATTATCAGAGAAATGCAAATCAAAACTGCAATGAGGTGTCACCTCACACCAGTCAGAATGCCCATCATTAAAAAGTCCACAAATGATAAGTGCTAGAGAGGGTGTGGAGAAAAGGGAATCCTCCTACACTGTTGATGGGAATGTAAATTAGTGCAGCCACTATGGAAAACAGTAGGGAGGTTCCTCAAAAAACTGAAAATAGAGTTTCCATATGATCCAACAGTCCCGCTCCTGGGCATATATCCAGAGAAAACTCTAATTCAAAAAGATACATGTACCTCAATGTTCATAGGAGCACTATTTATAATAACCAAGACATGGAAGCATGGAAGCAACCTAAGTGTCCATCAACAGATAAATGGATAAAGAAGATGTGACATACACACTCACACACACACACACACGAATACTACTCAGTCATAAAAAAGAATGAAATAATGCCATTTGCAACAACATGGATAGATCTGGAGATTGACATACTAAGTGAAGTTAAGCCAGAAAGAGAAAGAAAAATATCATATGATATCACTTATAGGTGGAACACTTATAGGTGGAATCTAAAATATGATACAAATAAACTTATTTACAAAACAGATGCAGACTCATAGACATAGAAAACAAACTTACAGTTACCAAAGGGGAAAGAAGGGAGTGGGATAAAATTAGGAATCTGAGATCAGCAGATACAAACTACTATATATAAAATAAGTAAACAACAATGTCCTATTGTATAGCACAGGAAACTATATTTGCTATCTTGTGATAATCTATAGTGGAAAAGAATATGAAAAACAATATATTTATGTATAACTGAATCACTTCGCTGTACACAGAAACTAACACGATATTGTGAATCAACTATACTTCAATTTTTAAAATTAGAACTAATAAAACAATTTAGATACAAAAGAAACAGAAATAACTAATGTTGGCAAGGATATGGAGAAATCATAACTCTTACACATTGCTGGTGTGAATGTAAAGTTGTGCAGCCACTATGGAAAACAGTTTGGCAATTCCTCAAAAAGCTAAACATAGAATTACTCTGTGTTCCAGTAATTCTGCTCCTGGGGATATATCCAAAGGCATTGAAAGCAAGCACTAAAACAGATACATATACATCAGTGTTCACCACAACATTATTCACAGTACAGGTTTCCCCACTACCCAAAAGTAGAGTGTTCCTATGAAACCTTGTGTAAGCAGAGAAGACATAAAGCAAAGAAACAATTACCTTAGGACACATCTTGCTTACAGACTCACAAAATAAGTAAAGATGAAGCACAGATGCTCACAGAGTTCAAAGCCATGATGGGTTGACATTGAGATACTGAGTGTAGTTCTTGGGGAAGGAGCCTGGTAGTGCCGCTCTCACTGCTCAGGGTGCACACTGCCTCTGGCTCCTGCAGAACAAACGCTGATCACTATTTTCGCTTTTCACCTCTTCTTATCAATGTGAAAATCCTCTTTAGATTTATTTTAGTTAGCAAAAATAAGTACTAATGTAGGTCTTTCATAAAAGCTTAGCAGCATAAAATGAACTTTAGAAAAGTGGGGGATATGCATATGCAAAAGTGTCCATAAGCAGATGACTGAATGAACATAGTGTATATAAATCACGGAATACTATTCAGCCATTAAAAATAGAATGACATTCGGATACATGCTACAACATGGATAAATCTAGAGGATGTCATGCCATGTGAAATAAGCCAGACACAAAAGAGCAAATATTGTATGGGTCCACTTATATGAGGTATCTAGAACTCATAGAAACAGAAAATAGATAAGAGGTTATTAGGGACTGACAGACAGGGTAAACAGGGAGCTGTTGCTTAATGGTTACAGAGATACCATTTTGGGTAGCAGAAGATTCTGCATCCAATTCCAATGTTGCAGGTGGGGGGCCAGTTCCACACCAATTAGGAATTCTCCAACACCAGTGGGTAGCCTATAATGCAATTCAATTCTGACACTCTCTGCCCAGAGGTAGCATCAGGTTCCACAGGTTAAGGACTTGTTACTGAACCAAACTTGGGTCCGCTTGCCTGGGAACAGTAAAGACAACCTACTGATGCCAGGTTGTGGTGAAGAATAGTGCAGCACTCACTGTAGGCACCAAACAAGGAGCACAGGTGGTTAATGCTCAAAAAACCCAAACTCTGCAGAGATTTCTGAAACTAAGGACAGGGGACCAATAGTATAACAAAAGATGTTCACATTGCTCTAATGACTCAAGAAAGTCCAAGGGTTTTGAGAGCTGTGAGCCAGGAACTGTGGACAAAGACCAAATATATATGAGAAATTTGGTCATCTGAATGACCAAATAAATATTTCTTGTAATTCAAACATCAAAGGTAATGAAAATGGTTTAAAAATACATGATGTGGGTGGTTGCACAACACTGAAAATGTACTGACGGTTAAAACAGCAAAATTCAGGTTACCTAACCACAATATAAAATTTAGATTGCTTTACCACAGCAAAAAGAAAAATTTTAAGGTATATAGATACAAAGTGAAAATTCCAATTCACATTGCACACTTAAGATTTTTGTGCTTTGCTCAGAAGAAAAGAGTAAATACAAAAATAATAAAATTAGGACTGTTAGTAAGGAGGAAGATCTTACCACGCCTCTTAGAGAGGAAGGGGGAAGTGTCAAAAGAAGCATTTTCGATTTATGACAAAATGGCAAGGATGTTGACTGCTGTGAGGGCTCCAGCTCCAGTCTCCACTGCTGACAGCATGATCTGGCTGTTCCAGTCTCTCCCGCTTGTCTTCTGCCTTGGCCCAGGTAAATGCTGAAGCAGACCCATGTGGTCACTGAGTGACTCCTGGTTTTGTGCAGCTTGCTCAGTCTAAACCACCTAGGTGTCTGTCTGTCTCTCTCTCTGCCAGGGGATCGGGTGGGGCTCACAGTGGTGCCTGACAAACTGCTTTTGCCTCTCAACTTAGAAAGCTTATGGCCTGAGAGGGTTCAGAGTTAACAATATCAACTGTGTCTGCATTTAAGGCAATTATCTGCTGGGGCATGGGAAATGAGCTTTTCTGGGACTGTGATTAAGAAGAGGCCCACTCACCAAATTTAGCTACTATCTTGCTGTGTGAGCTCATGTAGGTTACGTGTTCCTCCTGAGCCCCATGATCTTCACTGAAAATACTGAAAATCTATGATTAGGTTTAGTCAAGATTTCTGAGCCCAACTGAAACACTAGAAATAGCCCTCTCTGTTTTTGCTTACAAAAAGCAAAAACATTTGCTTTTGATGGGGAAAAAAGCATTCTCCATCTCTCCTTTCCTTTGATGCAAATCAGGGGCTAGCTAGTCCAGCAGTACTTAATACGGCAGACAGAAAGGAACTAAATGATTCTGCCTGCTTCTCATCCCCTGCTGCCCATTCCATGGAAAACATAATGCCACGTTTGGGGAAACACAAGTGGTCCACTGGCGCCAAAGTATAAAAATTAGGGACAGATGGGGCAGGAGACAAGACAGGAAATCTCGCCCAGAACTAGCTCGGGATAGCAGATAAAAATAGTTAATATTCATTGAACCCAGAACTAGCCCAGGGTAGTGGATAAAAACAAGTATAATATTCATTATACTGTCCCAGACACTGGGTCAAATGCTGTACTTGCATTATATACATAAGCTTTATGACAGTTCTGTGAGTCTATACTATGGGCATCCTCTTTTTAAATAGCTCGCTCAAATTTCATTAGCCAGTAGGTGGCAAGCTCTTGTAATCGTCTTGAGAAACACTCAAGAGCTCCCGCACTTGAGAAAGAGTGACAGTTAAACATGGTAGTGGTACAAGAGAAAGAAGGACAGACGAAAGAATCACCACAGATGAAGAATTAACTAGATGACCTGGCATTGGGAATAAGGGGTAAAGAGAATTTATTGTCATCCAATCAATATCCATTTAGCACCTCCTGGATACTTGGCACTGTTCTAGTTTCTGGGAATACACCATGAACAAAGCAGGCAAAAATTCCTGCCCTCGTGGAGTCAACATTTTTAGCAGGGGAGACAAACTATAAACAAGATAAATAAATGAAACAGTATAGTGGATAGTGATAACTGATACAAAGGAAATAAATCAAGCAGGGAAAGAGGGTATAAAATATTGGGGGCAGTGAAATTTCAGACAGGGTAGCTAAAGAAGGTGACAAAATTGAGGGGAGGAGAGAGCAACCATGAAGACGAAGGTGATTTCAATTTTGGACTTACTAATTTTATGATGTTAGCGTGATATCCATGAGAAAATTTCCTGAAAACAGCTGGAAATTTAGGACTAGAGGTAGAGCCAAGGCTGGAGGCTTTGAAGTCACAGCATAGAAATAATAGATGAAGCTAAGGAGAAAAGTGGGAGGAGAAAGGAAACTTGGAAAGTATGTATAAGATGCAGAAAAGGGAAGAATTAATTCATACATTCAATGGCCAGAGAGGTGGCCTTGGAGCAGAGACCCACATGTTTGCCTCCTTGCAAAACTGAGCCCATCTCTAAAATTAAATATTCAGAATGTCTTCCGGTTAAAATTCCCCTGCTTCTCCCCATCTCCATCGATACTTCTCATAAGGGCCCTATGAAATATACAGTGTTCCTCTCCTCCCTTCAAGCAAGAGGAAATACCCTTAAGTAACTTGCTTAATGTCACACTGTTATGGAGGAAGTGGGGAAGGGGTAGAAAAAGAAGCGTAGTTGACTGTGTCTGCAGGTGTTCTGAGGCCCGGGAGGAGAGCAGTGATTGCCAGGGTTAGAAATCAGGGAGCCTGGCTACAGAGTTGGTGCTTTTAACTGTTCCACTATGCTACTTAATTTAGACACAGTTACATACTCACATAAATGTGTGTGTAATTACAAACTGTGATGCTAGGAAGAAAACAACAGGGTACCTACCATACGAGAGAAAAACCAGGGGATCTGCTTTTGATGAGGTGATGTGAAAAGGATTTTCTGGAAAGGTAGCATCCATCTGATATTTAAAGAGTGTGAAAATTCAAACAAGGAGTCGTTTAATGAAGAAGTATTCAATTCCACATATAAGTGATATCATATGATACTTGTTTTTCTCTGCCTGACTTCCTTCACTTAGTATGATAATCTTTAGGCCCATCCATGTTGCTGCAAATGGCATTATTTCATTCCTTTTTATGGTTGAGTAGTATTCCATTGTGTATATATAGCACATCTTCTTTATCCAGTCATCTGCCAATGGACATTTAGGTTGCTTCCATGTCTGGGCTATTGTAAATAGGCTGCTATGAATATTAGGGTGCATGTGTCTTTTTGAATTAGAGTTTTCTCTGGATATATGCTCAAGAGTGGGATTGCTAAATCATATGGTAAGTCTATTTTTAGTTTTTAAGGAACCTCCATACTGTTCTCCATAGTGGCTGCATCAAATAACTTTCCCACCAACAGCGTTAGGAAGGTTCCCATTTCTCCACAGCCTCTCCAGCATTTATCATTTGTGGGCTTTTTAGTGATGGCCATTCTGACTGGTGTGAGGTGATACCTCATTGTAATTTTGATTTGCATTTCTCTGGTAATTAGCAATATCGAGCATTTTTTCACGTGCCTATTGCCCATCTGTATGTCTTCTACAGAGAAATGTCTGTTTAGATCTTCTGCCCATTTTTTGATGAGTTGTTTATTTTTCTGTTATTGAGCCATACAGTATCACTTATGTGGTGGAAACTTTTTAAATGACATAAATGAACTTATTTACAAAACAGAAAG